ATGAATCCTCGGCAACCATTAACATGTACTGCTGGTCACAGTGGGTTCGTACCCCAACTAGAGGCGATAGTATACTCGATCTAATATTTAGTAGAGATGTTATCCCACTATCTGCAAAAGTATACAATGAATTTGAAAGCAGTGACCATAAAATAGTAGTTTGCGCTCTCCCTATCTATCCCTCTTATAACCGACCCATTCAAAAACCTGTCAATATAGAGACTATAAGCATGCTGACTGGGACCTCCTGCATTCATTGATTAAACTTTCAGTCTGGGCTAACTTTTTTCATGTAATAGTCTCATGGATGCTATCGACGAACTCTATCTGATCATTAACTCTTGTTTAGATTCCTGTGTACCTCTTAAAACGTACAGGTTTAGTAAACCTTACGAATTATACATACCAGCTAAATATCGTAATAAATTAAAACTCCTACAGAATCGTTATTTTAAGTCAAACGATTTCACAGCATTTGCACAAATAACAATAATTTTTAATCAAATTAAAGAGAAACATAGGTTAAAAGCCATTAATGAGGAGCTGTTAGCCCTTAATACTAACTCAAAAGTACAAAACTTAACTCTCCTTTTCAATAAACGCACTAAAGCAACTCGAAATGTTGATATACCGTGCATCCAAAATAATAGCACTTTTATATACGAATCTAAAACCATGGCCGACCTTTTCAGTAGTATTTTTGCGAATAATCTAGAAATCATAAATGGCTCTGCTTTAAGAGGTATGTGCGTGGCTAGCAACTCAATAAAATCTATCTCCTTCACATGCATGAAAATTAATAAGGCTATAAATACCCTTAAGCTTTCGAAAGGTCATGGAGTAGACGGGATTTCATCATTTCTCTACAAATATGGTGGTCCAGATATTCCACTTCTTCTTCTAAAGCTGTTTACTCTCTCTATGGAAACCGGTTCTTACCCTTACTGTTGGAAAACCGCGCACATCATACCACGTTACAAATCTGGGGATAAGACTGACATGAACAATTACCGGCCAATAAATATTACTCCAGTTATTTCTAGGATTATGGAAAAAATTATAAGTGATGAACTTTCCAACTATTTACTTGCTGGAAAATTTATCAATGATACTCAACATGGATTTCTTAGAAATCGTTCTTGCATGACATGTCATTTTGATTTCTTTAATTTAGTCTATTCTCTTCGTAGCCAAGGATATCTAGTCTTAGTGCTATATCTGGACATTTCTAAAGCCTTTGACATGGTTAGCCACCAACTTCTTATAGGTAAGCTCGCATCTTATGGGGTTCAAAATCGTTTGCTTGCTTGGCTTGATTCCTTTCTCAGCAATCGACATCAAATAGTTAAAATTAACTATTCATTGTCTAACGCTGTCCCTGTTAGAAGTGGTGTAATACAAGGTAGTGTCTTATGTCCTTTGCTCTTTTTAGTGTTTATCAATGATATTTGTGAGAGTTTTTGTGTCGGTAAGCCCCTTCTATATGCAGATGATCTTAAAGTAGTATATTCATTTTCTCCACATGACCTGAAAAATATACGAAATTGCATCAGCATGGAGCTTAACAAGGTAGCACAGTGGTGCTTAAAATGGCAACTGGAGCTTAATACGGCTAAATGTGGATCGATATGCTTCGGCAATACATCACTCAACCTAGACATTACCATAAATGGAGAAGTGTTATCTAGGTTACATACAGTAGTAGACTTAGGACTTAGATATTCCCAAGACTTGTCGTTTACTGAACATATATTAAAACAGACCTCTAAGTCTCAACGTCTAATAGGTTACATAACTCGAAATCTTTACAACACTGAGTCACGTATTCTAATGTACAAAGTTTGTGCTCGACCTCTTCTAGAATATTGCACGTTTATTCTTAGCAGTGCGCTCATAAAGGATAAATTAAGGCTGGAATCAGTACAGAGACGATTTACACTTCGTATTCTTGGAGCTGATTGTACCTTAACTTATAGTTCTAGATGTAATAAACTTGGGCTAGACCCTTTATGGAGGACGAGACTCAAACTAAATCCTATCTTTTTCTTTAAACTACTTCATGAACTATCGTTTACATCCGATCACGCGATTCAATATGCAGAAACCTCTCATTATGACATTCGTAATTCCTTGGCACTAGTGAAATAAACTCATTCTAAATCATCTCTTTATATGAATTACTTCACCTGTAAATTTTCTAGACTCTGGAATAACATACCACAATCTATCCGCACGATAAAATCACTCCCATTATTTGTTCGCTGCATCGATGCATACTGCTCCTCTGAAAATGCATTGAATGGTCTAGCGCCTTTAAGTGTATCTCATTCCACAAGTGATATTTTAGGAACCTTAAATGTTTAGCCATCTATATTAATGAATTCCTTTAGTAAAACCATCCACTTGCTGCCAATATGTTAACACCGCCCCTAGCAATTTTAACTAATTTGAATAACATAAACAGTATATCACTGTGTCACATGACACACGCATTTAGGTAGACCTGATTGATATATCTTGGTAATTACTTTTTTGTTGTTCCGTGCTCTCAGTTTTTGTTTTAATTTCTCTAGTTGTAGATAATTATCGTTAATTCGATCTGAGACACGAATTGACCTTAATTACTCCGTTAATAAATCAACAGACTGTCCATTTAAGAAATATTAAACATTCCCGGCTGATGCATTGGATCGCTGTAATATATTTACTACTTAAACAACTACTGAACTAGTATACTTAAAACTTTCTTTTATCACATGTTTGTTCTGCACGTCTAACGTTATTATTTATATCAAATTGATCATGTCTGTAAACTGGTGTGAATTCTGTAATTATTATTTTCAGAATATAAAATTATTATTATTATATCTCAGTCTGGTTCTAAAAGGGTGAAAGGGAGGTAGATAGGAGTTCTATACTTGAACACCTAATCGACTGTAATCAATATCCGAATCCGCAGTGTGATTTTATGGTTGTTTATATAATTCGTTCAAATCTACCTAGATTTCTTCGTATCCAACTCTTGAAAATAGCTGAAGCTCTTACCATCCAGGAGCTTAAACCAGAACTATGCGTACAAAAGAAGTACGTCTTATCATTATCGTTACCTCGGCCTTAATTAATATTATTATTACTGCATTCCCCTTTACTTTTGTCTTATATTCTCACTGATTTATTCATAAATACTCACCATGTCACCTTATTTATTTTTACACCTCTATAACCTTTAATTATTATAACAAAAACATTTTGATCATCTTATTATATTCACTAAATCTGTTGTTATTATTCGTATTACGTCATCTAGTATTATAATCTTTTTATTACGTCATCTTGGTTTATTGTGTTCATATTTCCTCACAGAATTAGTACTTTAACAGAAAAATTTTTTAAAATATATATACGATTTTCACAGATTGAAATCATGAGTCAGTTGAAGCTAGACCACCATGGAAAACCTGGAAGCACTGGACGGCCGTTTCGTTCTAATATGGGACTCCTCAGCTGACTCATGATTTCAATCTGTGAACATTTCTAAAATCTCCACAAACCCCTACTGATAATATATACGGTTGTACAGCTTGAAAAGAGATCCCTTAGATGAACTTCGTATTTTCAATTTTTTAATGTTTAAATGGAAATTGTTTTATCATTCGAAAAATAAATGTTAACTTAATCGATAATCTTGTAATGATATGCATGCGATGAATTTTTCTAAACTGATACATTAAAAGTGATACTTATTACCGATTACTATAGTGAGTTGATAAAGAATGAACAAACATACCTTTTTAATTTCGGTAGATATTTGAAAGGAATAGATTAAAAGTTCAAGTTCTAGTAACCAATGTTGGGTAGTAGCTAGCAGTGGAATCCAGGATGCGCGTTTCGTCCTATTAGGGACTGGTCAGCTGGATGTACCTGAATCTCAGGGTTGATGTTCACTCTGGGACTCGAACTCAGTACCGTTCGCTTCAAACGCCATCGCGTTATCCACTTAGCTACTGAGTCCTGTTAGCCATTTGCTTGTGCAGTGGGCTGAATTTAAATTCACTTGGTATTGTTTGGCTTGTATCTTCCAATTGAGGTTTAAGATTGCAATTGATCAGTCTGTTATTGGCATATGTGCATACTGTGTGTATGCCTCGATGTTGCCTTAATTCACAAGCTTTCTGTAAGCAATGATGGATAGTGGCTAGCAGTGGAATCCTGGATTATTACATATGCCAATAACAGACTGATCAATTGCAGTCTTAAACCTCAATGGGAAGATACAAGCCAAACAATACCAAGTGAGTTCAAGTTCTAGGTTTGATTATTTTCTGGTATTTAACAGGAAAGAGAACATGAGATATTAATAAAAGTCAATAAGTTATTGGAAATATAAGCTAGCACTTTTCAGTGGCGTAGAAACATTTACAGTATATCGTCCAAATAGCAAATTAATTTATATAAAACTGGGTTAAATACACTAATCATCCTAGTGACTATATGCATGAACTCCTAGAATAAGTAAATGTATCGTCATGTCAATTATTCTTGACTAGTATGTTTATTGCATGATCGTCTGATAAAATTCAGTTAGCCATAGATACTATATTACATATTACTAATAACTATCATTTGAATGACTATAAAACCCTTTAAATAAGGTTAAAAAATATATTTCTTTTAAGAAATTCTAGATTTTCATGTATCGATCAAAAAGTCTTTCATCTTTATTATGGAGATTTGTCGATAATTACCGGATAATAAATATTTTGTTCTATTGCAACCCGCCAAAATATTTAATTTGTCGTAAAAATAGGAAATAATGGAGAGAGATTGTATAATTCAGATTGTATAATTCGGATTGTTTATAGCTGAAGAGAAATCCTCCTATAAAATGATTTCATTTAAGTCTAGGACTCGTGTTTTTACTGACTTAAAACACTTATAGGAATCACTAGAGAAAATGTATGAATTTCATTTAACAATTAGGATTTTTTTCGTAAACTCACTTCAGTTTCAGTAATCATTATAGGGTGATTCAATATGATCCAGGTAACTGTTTCATGGCATGGAGGAAATGGCAATGATCCTTCATATGTCATAAACTCATGTGTTGATGTTAGTAATGAGCGCAGTTCAAGACCTTTTAGCTGGAATGTTTCACCTGCAAACGAAGTTTAAAAAGTAGTACTAAACAGTCAGGATAATAGTATTTATAATAATTATTTACATTAAGAAATAATCATATGTTTGATTGGTTAATGGAAACGTCATAATGAGAACTAAAATAATATTAATCAGTATTGAAATTACTCATTACATCAAGTACTATTCTAAAGTTTAAATGTTAGTGATGTTGGACGACCTTATTAGTCTTCAACTCACACTAATTTTCTACATTGTGGACTGCACATTTAATCACGATATCGTTTACTTCATATATTGATTGAATTTCCAGCTACAACATAAGCTATTTCCTTATAATATATTTTTATGTAAATGAATCCACTAGTTATTGCTAAAAATACCCACTTATCTTCATTTAGAATTTACTGTTTAGAATTTAGTCGTATAGTGATATGCAATTCTGCTGAATTCCAATTACTCTATGAACTTACGAAGCAAATTGAAAACGGGTTTAAAATTAAAGTACGAATTCGGTCTTTAAGCATTAAATTTGTAATCTTTCATTTTGCTAAATCAGATATGCAACATTTATTTAATATTTATTAAACTTTAATATTAATATTGAAAGGTCTAGTAAAAGTTTTACTTGGTGTTTCTGACCAACAAAGAGATCACTGAGCAAATTACATTTCAGTTTTGAATTGTTCTTCAAATATTATCAGTTTTACAGTGAATACCATTATCCAGTTATTCAGAACTCTACAAACAACCTCTCTAATCATAATATAAGTTTCTCGGAATCAAACTATTGTTTTTTTAAAAAAAAGTGGTGGCTAACGTGTACAGTGTACATAAAATTCTAATGAGTTTTCAGTGAATAATTATAGTTAGTTCCTTGTCAACACAATAAATGAATGTTTATTAAATTAGGATCATCAAAGAACCACATAGTTAGCCTGTTACTACACATGAAAATTATCTTCAAGATATTTTTTTGAATTAAACTTTATCACTTTATCGTTATAATGAACTTCTCTTATTAAATCAATCACCTGTGTAATAAATGAAAGAAGGTTAACCGTGTCTACTCATGCATTATAAAAGCTATTCACATCATTTTACATAATAAAACAGGCAAAGTGAATGCCACTAATCAAAAGGAAACTTCAAAAGCATATTTTAATCAAGAAAGATACTTTACATTTATTTATTAGTTTACTGAACTGAATTACTTGTTTTCTGTAGGTAAACTATTTAGTTGTATACAATTTATGATCATTAAATATAAGGTAATTATAGTTCAGAATATTTGTGATAATTTTATTTACATTTTTGACCTGATTTATTAAATTTCATAAACGAATAGTAACTGATAAAAATTATTGACTGTTGTTTCCTGTGAAAAAGTTTACAATAAAGAAATAAAAAGTTGAATTTCATTAGAAAAAAAATAATTGAACTGTTACTGTCAAAAATTTTATCCGTAGGATCTTTGGTGAAATTGTAATGTTTGAAGAGATCATGATATTACTTAAAAACGGCAAATGGAACGAAGGTCTATAACACAATAACAGGATAAGCTAAACTAGTTCAATTCTCCCTAGCCCTGTTAACTAGAAGAAGATCAGATTCGTAACTTAGGTAAAAGTATATTCTACAAGCACGCAACTCAAGCATATATATGGCATAAAAAGGTTCCTGGGAAACTTTACAAACTGGCGTATTGAAAGAGGCAGTGAACCAATGATATTTAAGATCTTTCTAAGTGGGAAATATAATCTGAAAATAAAAATTGGCACTTTCAGTGCAGAAACGAGAAATTTAGATTTCCAAAATAAAATTACAAAATTAAGGCATTTATCAAGAGATTTATGAGGATTAGGCATCCCCAACAGAAATCCTGATTTACGAGTAGTTTATGTTTCAGTATGAAAATGATTTTTTTTCAAAAATCTATCGAATTCTCAAAAGGTGTATAAAGAATTTATGTTTAAGACATTACTTAGTTCAGTTGTCAAAGGGGATAATTTTATTACCAATATGAATATAATGGTTATTAGGTTTACATAGTAGAAAAAGAAATGGATACCAAAGTTAGTCAACAGTTAATTAATTTAATATTTCGATTTTTAAAATCTGCGCCAAATGTTCCTCGATAACAAAAAGTACAAATGAACCAAGCAGGTTTGAGATTCAATATCGAGAGTTATAATTAAATTTCAAATAAAATTTAATTTACAAATTATGAGAATTTATACTCTAAATGAAAAACATGTCTTTTGATGTTTATCTTTAGTCACATTATTCAAGACATATATCTAACCGTACCGAAACACTTTGAACTCATTATTGAATTCATCAGATTGGAATCATCCAAGTGTTTAAATAAAGGGTGTGTTTTTGCAACTTATAAAGACTTGGGTATCAAACTAAAAGTCCAAACTAACTGAGAACAATACGGCAATGACACAGGAATATTAAAATTATGAGTCCCAAATCGGATAAAGTGTGTTCCTTGGAATTCACTACTATTCACAATTCCCTTTATTAGAGCGTAAGATAATATCGAGAGGATCAATTAAGGACGCATATATGGCAATAGAGACTTCTCATTTGCAATCCAGAATGTTAACAACAGAAAGTTACAAACCATTACTTTTACCAAGTAAATAGATGTAGAGTGTTTGCACCTCTGTGCTTGTATTGCACTGATGAAGTGATTGAACTAGGCGAAAGCAGAAACTATCTTGTTTTGAAGCAATTCATTCTTTTTATAGTGAACAGTTGCTTGATTGATAAAAGTGCTCAATACATTGATGTAAAAGGTACCGATATAATAATAGAGCCACTGTTTGGAAATTTTCCCTCACGTATATTGTAAAACTTCCTATGATATATTTAAATATCAGTAATGAGTTTATCAAAATATATCAAATAGTTGACAAGATCTAAACTGATAAAATCTTACTATCTCAGAAATGGTTATTCAAATAAAAATTATTCCATTGATGAATAATATATAATGACCATGATTTAATAGAGATAAATATTTACCTTTAAATATTGTTTGTTCGGCTGCAGCTACAACTCCTAAAAGGTCCTTATTCGTTGCATTTCCAATCTGTAAAGTAGAAAAGATATTGTTTATTAAAGCCTACTAATGTCTAAGCCTTCAGTAAAATTGATTTGGAAAATAGTTTCTAAAGTTATCATGAGTGATAATCTGAGCAATTTTATCAAGTTAATATACTCAGATAAAAATATTATCATTGAAACCTCCTGAAGTTGATTAGTTTGGATCAAAATGTTATAATCGTTTAGGAGGGATTGGAGACAGTAGCACACTGAAAACACTTTAACTCTGAAATTTTACTGTGCTTCATCTCGTTTAAAAATTACGGAGTGGTAATTCAGTATATCAAACTGGACGTTATAGTTCAAGATCATGCATTATTACTGTTAGAGGATAATTAGAAATAAGTTATTTATTGTTATGATTGCTTTCTGTAGCCAGAATAAATAAATTCTATTACAAGTGCCTAGGAATCAAAGTTACGTTACAGATGGAAACTAGTGGGTGTACAAAATCAATATTGTCAACAGAAAAAGTGTTATAAGTCTTTTTCTTCCAAGTGAACCAGCTACTAAAATGAATTAAATTCAGGACAACCAAGAAACCACTACACCCTCATTTTTGACAATTTTTCTTGATAAATTTCCTTTGTCAATCTAATTGAGTAAACAGAATTTATAAGTAAAATTTCTTACTTATTAAATGCTTTACTGACCCAGTTACCTCTTATTCACATTATCTATTATTTATACAAATATATATCTGGTGATAGAATGACATTAGATTGACGTTTGAAATATATATGTTTATCTATTATATAGTTTTAAACTATAACCATAGTATTCATTTACAAAACTTACTTTAAAGAAAACGCTGATAGCAAGTATACCATTCGGACGATAAAATGCCTCAGATAAATTATTGTATAATTCATTGTTGAATGAATAAATCTGCAACTGTGAAACAATTAACAACAAAAATAATAAAAGATTAAATTGTCAACAGAAATAAACTAAAATAAACATTTTGTTAAAAAGGATGGATATTGGCTAGCAGTAGAATCCACGACACATATTTTGTCTTATTTGGGACTCATCAGCTGGATGTACCTACATCTCAGAGTTGATGTTCACTCTGGGACTCGAACCCAGTATCATTCGCTTCAAACGTCATCGCGTTATTCACTTAGCTACTGAGTCCTCATGGGAAGATACAAGCAAACAACACCAAGTGAATTTAAACTTTTTGTTATCTATATCAAATTTGATATCTTCAGATTTTTATCTGTTATTATTGCAAATCATTTGAAGTGATTATATATATATATATATATATATATATATATATATATATATATATATATATATATGACTGGGTACATATTATTTACAAGATAGATTGATGATGTATCCCAAATAGATTGAAATTTCTCATTTTTATTATACATAAATAATTATTAACATACACTATGTTAATTTAATGTAATAGACATTATCTAAAAGTCAGCATGTTTTGGTTATTATTTGTGGAGACTATTGTAGTAATATGATAGGTCGAAATGAAAACAGTTGAGGTAGGATTCAAGCTTACAGTGCAGTAGATTAGTGTTAGATGTTTAACCACTGAGTTACTGTTTCATATATCATTTAATTTTTCTTCAAATAAGAACACTGTAAATTAATCACTAAATATCAGTGTTGGGTTATAGAAAACTTTGAGTTTTTGATTGAGATCTATCAATGTTAGACTACTGCTGATGAGTTCCATTCTAGGACGAAACGACTGTTCATTGCTTACAGGTTTTGAAAGGTGGTCTACCACTGATCGATGTATGATCTCAATCAAAACCTCAACAATCTTCACAACCATATACTGAAACTTATCATATGCTCACTATAGACTATCTTCAAGAGGTAATTCTCGCAGTTCAAGTAAGGAGCCATGATGAATGGAGCTAATCTGTGTCCGATGTGAAACAGTTATCCATCAAAGACAATACAAGATGTTTGTACAATTTCGTGTATTCACTAAATAATTTTTTTTACATAACGATTAATTAAATTGAATTTTATTTTAATTTTCTCTTCTTGTTCATTTATTCATTTACATATCTACATATAGACACATAATTAATACACCTATTTTATATCATTCAATGCTTTAATACTAAGAATCAATTCAGTATTTTCTGGTCTATCGGTTGTTTTACTTCACTTTTTTTTATTCATTTCTGGATATCAAGTGAAAAATTCACAGAAAATTATTCATTAAATATTTTTCAATTTTCATTTCACATAGAAGTACATCTTCGTTTTTTTTTTGTATTTTTTTTAAAAAAAAATAAACAAAACAAATCAAAATTTTAATTTAATTTTAGTTGAGGATAAAATAAAGTGAAATGTTTGTCTTTTTCGGTGGTGGTGGTGGTGGTGGTGCTGTTGTTGTCATAGTCAAGTAAAAAATGATAAAGTATAATTTATTTGAAATAACAATAGTTATATAATAGTAGTATTGGCAATAATCATATTGGTTAAATAGAGAGAAGAAGAGGACAAGGGTTTATTTTAATAATAATAGTAATAAGTTGAATAATTATTATGTCATATAATTACAAAATATTTATTATTCATTTCCGTTATCAAAATAAAGAGTAGATGAATTATTATCAGAAGGGGTTTGGTGGAGATTGTAGTAATTTCCATAGTTGAGATCATGAGTCAATTGAAGCTAGACCACTATGGAAAACCTGGAAGCATTGGATGGCCGTTTCGTCTTAGTATGGGACTCGTCAACAGTGCGCATCCACGACTCCGCCTCGCGGGATTCGAACCCAGGACCTATTAGTCTTGCGCCAGGCTTTTAAGAAACTAGACCACTGAGCCGGCATCCAACGGTGTGAGTGTCTAACTTCAACTAATCCACAAAACTGAGTAACACATCCACCATTGTCATCAGTGAGTTACTACCTCAAAAAAGATTAAGTTTTATTGGAAATTATTCAATGTTTTTTCAAGAATAAAGTTTATATGAGGACGGCCCAAGTGTGAATTTGAGGAAACTCTAAGAAGAAGGAACAAGTACATTTCATCTAGTCATCGTTTGGAAGAACTATCCAGGATCTCGACGTGTAGCTTTCCTATTGGTCAAATGCCAAAGACCACTGGATGAGGATTAGAGGACTATAATGATGATTTCACTTTTAATCGTTTAAAGATCCCCATCATATTAAAAGACCAATATTTGAACGGAAAATATTCTTTCTGATAAATTCCCTTTACTTTTACTAAAATATGTAAATACTTGAGAGTTTTGTAACATATTTGATACGGTTCGGAATAGCATTCCTTCTCACTCTTCTTCTGTCTTTTCGTTTGCGAATAGGAGGATTCTAGTGACTGAGTGCTGAAGTTGTACATGGTATATCAATGATCTAACCTCTAGACATAACAGTTCAACTCATCGATAACTTTCGATATAGTTTAACTTAATTTAAACTCTTAATAAAACATTTATATTTATAATATAGGGGATGTGGAGATTACTAAGTTTTTGATTGAGATCATGAACCAACTGATATTAAACCACTATTGAAAACCTAGAAGCACTGGACGGCCGTTTCGTCCCGTTGTCAGACTCCTCAGCAGTGTTTAGACTAGTGACCATATAGCAAACTAATCGATATAATTTAATCAATACCATGGTTATTAATCAGTGATCAGCTGGTGCAAATATTAGTAAATTCAGTAACTAACTACAGGTTTAAAAATCAAGCTTTAAGTAATACTTTATGAATGAAGGATATTTATGCAAATTGAATTAAGTTAAAATGGAATTCAAACTAGTAATTCAATAGTTGATATTTAATTAGTTTTATTTCTAAGTTACTTATTTAATTTTAGTAAACATACAATCCGAAGTAAACATTTGTCGTATTTTTGAAAGGTAAAAAAGGAAAAAAATTTCTACAATACTTAATTGTTAAAGGCTCAAATTAAAGTTTGTTTTAAGAAACAAGTCATTGCTTTTTTCGTGAAGTTAATTTGAATGTATGAATGATTTGTCTGAAAGTTTTATTGTATATTTTTTTTATTCATTCGACTCAAATTATAATTACAGTAATGGTGATATTTGCAAGAAACTCTTTCTTAAAGTGAATGATTCAGGTATCTATGAGTTTAGTTTATTTCGCCTGGAGCCCCTCTGGGGCTACTTCCGGTCTCAAACTCTGATAAAAGAAGAGGGTCGGGCATGGGGTTGACGACCCCATCCAGTAGAAGACTAACTCCCTAAAAAACGCTACTTTAATGATTGTAAATTAAACTTGTCTTAAAGTATTTTTTGTTTTATGTATACGGAGTAGATGAAAGCAAACAATTTGAATATTCATTGTGAATTGAAAATTAGTATGTTCAGATATAACGATAAATGTTTATGACAAGTATTTTAGACATCAGTTATTAATGCCAATAGTTTAAGGACTGGATGATACAAGTTGTAATACCAGAAAGAAAACCTACAGGACTTACATTCAGATCTTAACAATGAGTAGTGACAAATAAATACTCAGGTTCAAAACGCTCTGTAGAATGTACTTCTACGTTTTCTGGATAAGCCTATTATTAAGAAAACTGATATCAATAATCCAATTTTCTACTTATTGTGATGTTATAAATATATCACATTGTTTCATTATTACAAACAATCTACATACTAATAGTAATGTTATAATAGTCTAAGCATCTATATAAGTATGACTGTGAGGGATGAAAATCATTTTCAATACAGAAGGATAACCACGATATTGTGTGGTGTGTATTGAATTATACTCTGCTAGAAAATATATACATTCTTAAATATACCAACAAAAATTTATTTATCAAATTTGTGATTGAACAATATAAATCCTCATGTTTATAAAGCATACGATGCATTACAATGTAAGTTTTACAGTTTGTAAACAATTGTTTACACTGTTCACAGGTTCTCAGTGTATTATAGTTTCCATATAAATGATTATATGATTATGTTTCATAGTCAAACTTAACATGGAGAGACAGTGGTTTTTTCTATGGAAATAAATTACAGTGAGTATTGATTACTTTAAATCTAATTAAGTTTGGCGTTAATGCCAATCATTTATAAATAAACTATACTTGACTTAAACATAATGGAAAGAAAGCATTTACAATTAAATAAAATATTGTGGTATAAAACATGAGTCTTTAAATGTAAAACAGGGTATAAAATGAAGAAAAAAACACATAGATGTATAGTTGTAATTGATCCTTAATGTAAACTAATTAAACAGATTGAATAAATATTTTATTAAGGAAAATAACTTTATAACTAGAATAATTCACTACTTATAAATAGAAATAGTCTTACTTACTTCACCTGGAAATGCTTTACCATCTATTGTATGCTCTGATCCTTGAGTTGATGCTGATCCAAATTTAATTTGCATAAAAGAAATTCGATAAGCATATGAGGATGGACCACCATTTAATTGTACAAATTCATTAGTTAAACTTATACGTATATCGTATCCACAATTTTCAACGATTAGTTCAAGCTTATAAATAAAATAAATATATTAAAAACAATGTACTAATTAAAAGATAACACTTATCAACAAGAGTATCCAAAGTAGATCATTGGAATTTGATTAATTTCTTCTTATAGTAGCATAAATTCAGTTATCTGTTATCTATCAAAGTCATATCAAAATTTTTCTTAATGATAACTAATTTCATAAACACATTCGCAACAAATTAATTGAAGATATTCGTGATTTGTAGTATCGGTTGTGTTGAAAAGAGAGTTGTGTAAAGACTTTAATTTTTAATGGTTGTCTAGCTGAATTTCGTTTGCAATTTATATCATCTTATAGATTAACTTTCATGATTTTTAACGGAAAGATATTTGAGGATTGTTCGGCGAGACTATAATTTATGGACGAGTCAGTCCGAGGCGTTTCAGGTATTTCAAGATCACGGCACCAGTTTCAGAACCTGATACTCACGTACGATCAGTTCACAGCGGATTTTAGAGAAAATGTGATAATTGAGCGACTATAATGAATGGGACTACTAAGAATTTCCTTTATTTGTGATTGTGGTAATCAAATTACTTGTGGCCCTTGTGCAGATTACCGTGATGTTATTGTCTTTTGATGTCATATGCGTTGGAAGAAGTCTGCTAGATTAGGACTTTTTTCGCCCAATCCAAATTAAGACTAGGGCAAATTATGACGGTTCTCGCGAACCGGATAATGAAAGCACCAATAACACTGGCTGGTACCGGGTACTACAGTATATACGGATGATTGGAGAGCGTACAGATGGCTACATAGACTTGTTTATGTGTATCGCAACGTTATCCACAGGTGGCATTTTGTGGAACCAACAACCGTAGTGCACACAAACAATACTGAAGCCATGTGGTCGAAGTTGAAAGAGTTTTTGCGACCTTATCATGGCTCTGGAGGCCGACTATTATGGAACCATATGAATGATTCTCTCTACTGCATTCGTTACGATTTTAGAACCTCTGAACCTCTTTCTAACGCTGACAAGTTTTTGAACCATGTAAAACAAGTGTATATTTTTACTCTATACGAACTGTTTTCCGACTGGCTAATATTTCTTAAAGTCAAATTAGATTCGTCCAAAGGTACTTCGTAAATTATAGTCACACAAGACTGAATCATTAATGTAATCCTTTAACACAACTGATATCAGAGGATAAGTTTTCTTATTTAATAAAATAATATGTTAGTACACAAACCATAAAAAAAGACTTATATGACCGGTTTCATAAACCATTGGACTAAATCAATTTGTAGGTCATTCATCCTCCAACAAATAAGATTCAGAACGCCTTATCATAATATATTTATCATTACATCATAAATGATTGAACTATATAAAGAAAATTTGATAAAAAACTAATTATAATTAAACAGTTTTCATTCATTTTATTTATTATATAATAGAAAAAAAATGTATTCAACTATTATCTTTCCATGAAAGGAACATACTATCTAATCAGTATATATGTTTATTGTTCCTATAATTTAGGTTAATTAAATTAGACAAGCACATATATCTATCTATCTATTTTATAAATGATAAATAATGTAATTTGTCATTTAAACAAAAGTTCATTATAAATAAATAAAAATGTAGATTTATACGATATGAATAAAGATATAGAATAACTAATTACACTTATTGAATTAGGATTATTGAATAGAGAGTTATGTATGTTGAATTTATTCAAGAAAAACAACAACAGAAAATAGAGTATTCTGTCATTTGTAACATTGAATACAAATTTTTGTAAGTGGACACTTGTCATAAATGAAAATAACGAATAGAATAAATAAGAACTGTGAGAATAATGTAAAAAAATTGTATTTGACAATTGAATATTTAATAGGTATGTGTTTGAATCAATGAGTCTGTTTTATTGTATTCATATTTGTTAGTAGTATAAAATTATAAACGATTAGTTTTTTATCTTTGTGATTGATTCGATTTGTATGACTATTGGTTAGATCAATGAATTATATTCGTATGAATATAGAATAACTAAAAGTTTATGGGAACTTGGGTTACACCGTAATACTTTAAATAATCTTAAATGTAATAGTTGAATTCATGAGTCAATTGAAGCTAGACCACCATGGAAAACATGGAAGCACTGGACGGTTGTCTCGTCCTAGTATGGGACATCACGGCAGTGCGCATCCAAGACTCCGCCTCGTAAGATTCGAACCAAGAACCTATCAGTCTTGCGCACAAATGCTTGACCTCTAGACCACTGAGCCGGCATCCAACAGTGTTAATGTCCAACCTCAACTAACATCAACTAATGCTCACTAGTGACTGGCTTCAAGAGGTAGTTTCTTGAGTTCTAGTGAGAAGCAGTGACTAGTGGAGTTCAACCAGGTCTGTTGTGAGATAGTAACTCACTGAAGAAAATAGTGGACGGTAGAGCAGTTTCGTGGATTAGTTGAAGTTAAACATCAACACCGTTGTATGCCGGCCTGCTCAGTGGTCTAGTGGTTAGGCATCCGTCCATTGCTTCCAGGTTTTCCATTGTGATCTAGTTTCCATTGACTCATGAATTTAACTATTAAATTACTATTATATCGATACACCCCCCTTTGATCGCAAATTGAAATGTGGATATTAAAAAACGTTCAGTGAATTTATATTTAGTAGATTGGTTTTATGCTTTACATTGTTCAGATAATCTATTTGTCAAAATTTGCCGACTATATAGAAGTTATAACTGTAGCAAAACTTATTAGCCAGAAGAAAACAAAGAGGTTTTAATGTATGTTTTATCCTTATTTCAATTATTTTGATCATTTTTTTCCCGACATTCTGGTAGTAAAATATCCTCGTTTATGTCTTAGTTTAAATTATTTGTCCAACGGCTATGTGGTGATGAAACTAGTCACTAAACTTCGTTCACATTTTAATGAATGACAAGAATTTACTCGTTAATTGTGAAGATAATCGTTTTATCCATTGATAGTTAGTTCTTTAGAAGTTTAGTTTTCAGCTCATTTCTAGAGTGAAATTGAACTGCATATTAAAAACCAATGGTATACTCATGTTCAGGAAATTTTCATGTGAAATCACTGCTTAGTATGATAACAAATAGAAGATAAAATAAATCATGTTAAATAATATCCAGTGAAAGTCAATCTTTGTCAGTTCATTATCTTCCTTCGTCAACTTTAAGTTGGCTTGTGATATCATGTTGGAAAATGGGATCCATTCATTAAATTATTGATGACGTGGAGAGAGAGAGAGTGAAGCTTAAGTGTTAATCTGACTAAACAGTTTATCAGAAATATTAATAAAGCAAGATTACTGAATTATCAAAAAGTTTTTATTATAACTAATTTACTTGCTTTTCTAATCCTTCTATCTCCATTGCAGATAGTGAATGATCATAAACAAGATTTTTGGTCATAATATTAATCGGTGATTGATGTCTACCATTTTGACATAGGTTTGGTGATCCATTTATGAAGTTTTCTTTTAAAAGTAGCTCCTCATTCCATATTTCAGTACCTTTAATTAGAATTCACATATTCAAAAATATATTTTATCTTTTGGTTAAATATGGTTACATTAATTTAGTTATTTTGAAAAATCACAATGTTATTTACATTTAAAGCATACAGTTAAATATTATAAACCGGATCTATTTTTTAAAAGTATACTATGCTTTAACTATTATATTGTTTTCTAACTTATATTTGGTATGCATTCAGTGGTTGAGTAAGTTATCATCAACAGATAAGCGACTAATTCTTCAAAACCTGCTTCAAAATGCCAAGTTCCGTTGAGTAAAAGGTGATTGGCTGAGCTAAGTCCACATGGATGTAACTATGCACCAATAATGAGTGCTTTTTATTCAAGGTGATATAATGAAATCGTCATCTTGAACATTCATATATTGCACATAAAATATTTGTCATAAATTGTAAGTGGCATCTAATAATAATTATTTCTAATTCATTTTAGACTAGTTTTTAATTAGACCTATCACGAGTATGTGTACTGAACGTTAGCTATAATGTTAAATTATTAAACAAAGACTCAGTATGTTACAAATTACTTGAATCTATTTTCATTCGTTTGTGTGTCGACCATTTCAACTCTTCTTTTAAAAGGACTCAACTAGTGCTCACACTTTGCAAATTTGGTTGTCAAGTTTCTAAACGGTTTACTTCATCGCTAAGCAACAGACAAATAAGAGTAATCAAGAGCTTTTGAACTGTTTGATGATTTGCTGCATAGCGTGCAAATAAGTGTACTAAATATGGCTTATTCCACTGGGTTCCATCTTTTTAAGTTGCCTCATTTCGTTCAGAAAAACATCCAATAACTAGACTGTTAATATGCAGTTTTATGATTTATTTGGTAGGCAATAGTATTTTGAGGATGAATATTGTTTAGAATTGAATATCTTTTCTCGTTATTCTCTTTTAATTATAATTAATGTGCCTAGGTAATCTCTTTCAATATTATACCTTTTAGTGAAAGTTTTCAACAAATTATTACTATATAATCTGTTTGTTTCAATGAATAAACATAACAATAAATCAGTTCTCTCTAATCTTAGAATACAATTTTGACTAGTAATTGTAAATAATTCTAAGTATAGGAATATTGTGGATAAGACCACAATTATTAAAGGGCAAAACCGTAGTAAGGAATCAGTTAAAGCATAACAATTTCTATTTCAACTTTTCCTTCTATATAAGTCTGGATGAGGAATTTTAGGTTACATTTAAGTCATTGCTTTCGTGAATAGAAGTAATTAAATCATAAACAGAGCTAATTGGACTTTGAGAACTTTATAAACACGTCTTATAAACAAGTGAAAATCTAAATTTATTCATGCGAAAACTCAAAGAAATATACATCAATTTTCAGTAGTCAATGTAACTACCAAAAACAGTTTCTGGTTGACTACATAACCAAAACAATACTTTATAGTAATTTAACACGTATAGATATAATTAGAGAGGGGTTTTGTAGATATCATAGTAATTCTAATAGTTGAATTAATAAACATAGGGTTCAAATCTCGCGAGGAGGAATTGTGGATACGCACTGCTGAGGAGTCCCATACTAGGATGAAACGTCCGTCCAATGCCTTCAGGTTTTGCATGGTGGACTAGCTTCAAGTGACTGATGAATTCAACTATATATATATCAATTCCATACTATCATAATGTTTGTTCATTTATGTTTTCAAGTTATTTTTACAAAAATCTTCGAAGTCAATACTATTTATTTTAACCTTGTAAATGGAGCTTTTAGACTTAGTTGTATTCAATTGATAGTTTTTAAATTAGTGCTGACAAATAACGAAAATTAATTATCTTGTCATCATGAAATACAGACCACCTTTATGCTCATAAACAAGAAGTTTGTTTCGTTGATTAAGATCAGGATCAATATTATCAAATGTGAAAGACAATGATATGGACATGTTTAGCAAGTAGTTGTATGTTGTATAGAGAAGAACTATAATGATTTCATTAATGATTAAGCTAACTACCAATTTTAAAGCATAAGTTATATTATAACACATAGAAATAAGAACCAAATCTTTATAATTTTAAGTTTATCTCGTTAGAGATGTTACAGTTTATTGATCATTCATAAATCATAAATATATAGATGAACTGTGTTGTGGCACTTTAAGCACCTGGCGCGAGGCTGATAGGTCCTGGGTTCGAATCTCGCGAGGGGGGGCGGGATCGTGGATGCGCACGGCTGAGGAGTCCCACAATAGGACGAAACGGTCGTCCAGTGCTTCCAGGTTTTTCATGGTGGTCTAGCTTCAATTGACTCGATTTCAACCGGTGAAAAAGTATAATGGTTGGATTATATGATCCATTAAACTTCTGTTGTATATTCATTTATATTTATGATACGATTGTTTTTTTAACTTTTTAAAAAAATAAAATACCCATTAACGCTACAGTTTTTTAAAATGAATAGTGTCCTATTTGTGATTTACTTTACCTCTGGGACATATTGTAATATTTCACTAACTAATTACAGTTTAATTAAAATGATTAATATGATATTCATTTTGCATATTTCTCATTTCATAAATATTTACATAATTTCTATTTATAAATAATCTCAGTATATATATATTATATATATATATATTTATATATATATGCAGTTATATGAAAGTTGGAATTGAAATTTAATAGTCATAATGTTAATAAACAGAATCTTCTTCATGCATTTTAAAATTAGTTCAACTGACATGTACATTATTCGACTGCACTATGGGTTGAACATATAAATATTGGTACAAGGGGGCACCGAATACATATGCGTCACACAAGTCACTTGATTTGTGTGTGCGCTGTGATACATTCCGGATGCCTAAACCGAAGCAGGTGGTTTTCTTAGGGGGCCACACCCAAAGCCTTTGACATAAAGGTCTGATCCACAAGGCAGTGGAGCAACGTCAAGAGGTGCAATTCCATGGTAACCGGTGACCATACGCTATTCGTTCCTTCAGGATATTGGAACCTATGTGAGGGATTGGTTTGGAATGAGGGTTTTCCAACTACCATAGGTGGACTTGCCGTGTCCACCAACCCGATTAAAGCACCGAACATTCGCTTTTCGTCCTTTCACTTTTGAAAGCAGCACCCTCGCCGCGAGAAGGCAGTGAGTAGGACTTCACTGGCAGTGGTTGTATGCGTGTGGTCATGTGAGAGCATTTTGAGAGGGAGAGCTCTCGGCCGTACCAGAGCATTTGCGGGCATTAATAGTTTACTGAATCACAGTAATATGTGTTTTTATTTGTTAACAAATTGAGACAGGTTTTTCTATGATTCTTAAGAGCAGTTATTTAGAAACTGTAAATCTAATATTTAATGGTTAATTATTAACTTGAAAGATTATTCTAATGTAAACAATTATATATTTTGTAAGTCATAAGGAATTGTGAAGCTAGTGTGTTGAGGTTCATAAAATACAATACCAGTTTCCATAAACTTTGACTGTTTTGAATGAAATAGTTTGGTACATAAGTGATTAGAAAAATGCTTTAAACCTATATATATATAAATTGCTATATACTGCTACAGAACCTTTGAAGGTGAAACTGGTTTCATTTGTGAATAGAAGAGAGGTGGATACTTATTATAATGTGTCAAGATGAAAATCTATTACTTAATATAATAATATAATGAAGTATATTCTGTTTCTATGTAATGGGTGGTTATTTTTTTCTTTTATTAATCTACACCCACTTTTTTACTCTATAATTATCAGTTATTTTTTTTCATAAATTCCATTTATACGGGATTTTTGTTGGTTTTGATCATGATAAAATATATCCATACGTAATATTAAAACAGTCTCCATGGTTTGTACTTGGTTCTTTCAACAACAACAACAAACAGCATGCCTCCCTGTGTAATTTTTAAAATTCACTTTTTCTTCATTGTGATCTATATCTAAAACGATAGTTTTGAAATCGTTTTTTTTCTTTTTTGTTTTTATATCTGCTTCTTATTGTAGCAGATTGGTTGGATTACAGCTGATTAACACAAATACATACATGAACACATATATAGATACGTAAACAAAGAAATAAATTACACATACCAAAAAATAATGTGTATTGTTCCCGATATGGTTGACAAAAAAAAGTTAGACAGAATAAAAGGTAAGGAATAAGAAATACATGTATTAGTTGAACATTAAACATGGATGAATTTATCGAAACAAAGTAAAAATGAAATGCAAACTTATTAAGCAATAGATTCCATCAACCGTTTTTGTCTTGTCTTAAAAACATTCAGTAAAAAAGTATAAAATACAAACAATATCCAGGAAGCTTGTAAAATGAAAGAGAATTTAATCACAAAAAGAATTGAAAAATCAATATTCTGAAATTGGATCTACTCAATTTTAATCATATAATGATCATACATTATCAAGTAAACTATAGAAGACATGTGTAGACTGTTCATTTACTTAAATGTGAATACAGTAAACTGAACTAATCTATCAATAATTCTTTGTCAATATAATATTTACCAGTAAGATTTAATCTAGTAATTTGAGTCACTTTCTCTGCTAATTATAATAAGGTTTGATGGTTATCTCAGTCAGTCAGCTAAAACGTAGGACCAGGCACATATATGCATCGGTCCAAGTTACCATACCGCATCAGCACAGCAAAATGAACACCGGATTCATAGGAGTGGTTAAGTCAGTGGTGGTAATATATAAAAGAAAGATTGCATATAAGGATATAGTAAGGGAAGAAAGAAAGATATAAAGAAATTTCAATCTCATCGTTTAAGGGCAGACAGAGAGTGTATACACCTACACCATTGTGATCGATTCTGAGCCATGTCATTCAGAGTCTTCAACCACTGGTTAGGATATTCACGCACCTCTAACAATACTGATGATCACTGATGGCTACCTAGTTATAGTTGTTAATATTTTGGACAGTTATTTCATACTTTATAGAGATTCATTCACAGTTCTTTAATGTTTAATGTATTGCA